AGGTCAGCAGTGCATGGCATTTTTATGCCGCTAGGCTCTAAAGTTCTAGAGTTCCAAGGGGCATGCATTCGCACACCAGCCGACCTGCCTCGCGTTGTGCCTAGCCACAAATCCGCTTGGGCGCGCATAGCGGACGCCTCCGCAGAGCACACTCGCCTGTCCAGGATGAGCAAACACAGCGTAGAATGGTTGCTGCAATGCTTCCATCTAGACCTCGCATGCCCGCTGAGAAGCAAACCAATGCTGGCTTGCAAAGCAGCCGCGGATGCATGCGCCGAGGGCAGTATAGTGGGCATAGGAGGTTGGTTCATCTCCAGCAACTCCGTTGCGTGGTTCGCAGAGACATGGCAATTCCAAGAAGTCCAGGAACAATGGCCATGCCTGACCAAAGAAGCCCAGCGTTACATCGCATGCTTCGAAACCCTGGCCCAACTAGCACTCATGCGTATCGCGTGGTCCTGCGAGGGACAAGGCGTGCATGGCATTTGCATGCCCACAGGGACAGATAACACAGCTTCCGAAGCCGGTGTTAATAAGCTGTTCACCACTTCTTGGCCCTTACAAGTCTTTGTGCAACTTGTTGCTGCCTGGGCCCATAAGCACAAATGGTCCGTGATCGCGTCACACATCCCAGGGGAGCACAACATCTGGGCAGACCAGCTTAGCAGAGGTAATACCTCCGCTTTCCAGGCTCGACCAGCCAGAGTGCGCTTCAGGCCGCATGATTTCTGGCCTCACGCATCAGCTCTCACGCTTCACCCTGCGGACGCACCGTGGAGACCCGAGCACGTGGCTGCTTCGCAAACGCACTAAAGAGGGGGTAAGGTGATTTGACCGTTTGCTTAGAACTCTAAAGTGGGGGTATTCCGACAGGCTCCGCATGAGATGCAGGAAGATGGAGTGGACGCGCATCGTCACTCCACCTGCATCTCAGAGCCTGCACTTCTAAGCAACGCTCAAGTAAAAAAGCGCGTATCGAGTTTGCTCCGGTCGGTTGCTTTTTTCCCTGCATGTCCCTTTAGGCTTGAAGCAGTGACCAAGATTCTAACGCTAGGGGTTTGTCTTTTCCCCTGTGTTTTAATCTTGGTTGAATCTTCGGCCGCGTGGCCATTTCTGCTTCAAGCCTTTTGGTAAGGGACATGCCTGGAGGGTTTGACCCCTCTTTCGTTCTTTTTTGAACCCACCCTCCCACCCTTTCACGGCCCAGGTGGCATCCAGCCTCCACAAGGCCTGATTGAGGGACGCATGCGCCCGCATGAATGGAAGCTGGTCAACTCCCAACATTTCGTTGGCTTACTGCATCTCGCTGCTCCCGCAGGACCATTTCGAGCATAAGCAGCGAGGCCCACGCAGTGCACGCAATCGCACATTGACGAATGCCATCGGCATTCTGTCCGGCCCGGACTGGCCCTCTGCAGGAGGACGCATCCTCCCATGCACACTCATGCACGCATTGCATATATGTGCAACATACCCCTTTTTGTCTCACACCCCATGGGTAAAACACCCTGTGTGATGGTCGAACACGCAATGTTGACCTGAGGGGTATTCCGACAGGCTCCGCATGAGATGCAGGAAGATGGAGTGGACGCGCATCGTCGCTCCACCTGCATCTCAGAGCCTGCACTTCTAAGCAACGCTCAAGTAAAAAAGCGCGTATCGAGTTTGCTCCGGTCGGTTGCTTTTTTCCCTGCATGTCCCTTTAGGCTTGAAGCAGTGACCAAGATTCCAACTAAGGTATTCACTACCTCCTGGCCCTTGCAGATCTTTGTGCAGCTGGTGGCCGCATGGGCTCACAAGCGCAATGCATCGCACATACCAGGCAAACGCAACGTCTGGGGCAGACAGCTTAGCAGAGGCAACCTCTCTGAATTTGTGCGTAGGCCAGCAGCTAGAATAAGCTGAAGGCTGCATGACTTCGGGCCCCACAAGTCCACCTTAACGTTGCATCCTGCAGATGCTCCGTGGCGTTCCGGGCATAGGCAGGCCTCGCAAACGCACTGAAGAGGGGGCGTTAGGCCTTCCGGTTGCTCAGAGCCTCAAGTGGGGGTATGATCACAGGCTCCGCATGGGGTGCAGGTACATGGGTTGGACACGCGTTGGGGCTTTCTGCGTGCAGACATACCTTCTCTCCATTTTTGCCAAACAGGGTGCTTGCACCCGGTCTATTCTTGGCACCCCTGCCCAACCTCACCAAACACTGAGCCCAAACACGCGTGATGGAAACAGAGATCTCAGTTTGATTTTTGTTTTGCATCCATGTTTTCCTTTTAAGGAACGCTGACCAACCAACTGCTGTGCCGGCGTGTCAGTCGTTTCGATGTGTGACATGTCAACCATTGTGCTCCCGTTGTCTCGGCTTGAGGGTGTGGTGGGTGGGTTTCCCCCTTTTTCCTTGCCTTGTTGTTTGACTTGGTGATTGTGGAATCGGGGGTGTTTTGGAGCGATGGTTGACCATGTGCCGTCGCCTGGCGGCGAGCTTGGACCTGAAGTTGGCACTGACGCGGCAGGATTGAGGGGTTACCGAAGACGGTGGGTTGAAGGTGCGAGCGATACAGACCCTTCTTTTCAACTGGTTGATTCGGGTGCTGCTTCTCAATCGAACCTGTCAGATGCCTGTGGGAGATCTGAACATGCCGGTGATCTCGTAGACGAGGCTGCCGGAGACGATTCTGGGTCCTACGCTCAGCCAAGCCCGAGCTATAAGCCATCTCAGGGGCGGCCGCTACCAACCATTTGCATGACAGACGCAGGAACTGAATCGGCGTGGAAAACTGTTGCCCTAGAGGCTGCCTCAAAGCGTGCCAGGATCTTCAGACCGAAGCAGCCGTGGGAAACTGCGCATTTTAATGGTGTATTTGGGCCAGCCGATTGTTTGCAAGGAACAGTGCTTGGAATGAGTGCAAATTCCCTCTTGCCAACTCAGCTCGGTTTGCATGACGTGCTCAACACCCGGCTTGGTACAAGCAATTGTCCGGAACCTGAAGTTGCTCCCCGCACTGTTCCTGTGGTAGCCCTGAAGTATGCAAGGCGTGAACTTCCAGATGAAGATGTCAGACGTGCAGCGTTGGACAAACTGAGGAGTTTACTTGTATTAGATGCTGAGGCAACGCACTTGGGTCGGAGTTTGCAACAGATTGCCAACCGCACATCGTCGCCTGATCTGATTGAGCAATCGGTCAGCGACTGTTTCAGGTCAAAGGCTTCGTCTACGCTGCAGAAGAGAGCATCATCCTTATGGCGTTTCTCAAAACTGGTGCGGGAGTGCGGTGCTGAATCTCCGCTAAGGTTCACAGAAGAAGTTTTGTACAATTGTTTGTGCCTTCTTCGTGAACGTGGGTCAGGTGCAACTTCAGCTCAGCATATTCTGGAATCTTTGTGGTTTTTGGATGGTACGGCCCAGTTTGCAGTGATAAACCTGGCGACTACAGTATCGGGGAGATGCCGCGGAGTTGCGCGGGACATGTACCTGAAGAAAGATCCTTTGCAGCAGAAACAACCCTTGACTGCTAAGCAGGTGATGGTTTTGGAGCTGCTAATGAAATCTTTGCCTGCCAGAGATCAGTGCATCCTTGGCCAGATATTGTTTTGTATCCATGCTTGCTGCAGATGGCGTGACTCACAGCGTGTCCAGCGAATTTCTCTCGAGGAAGGTTCCGGAGAGGTTTTGGTATACTGTGAAGCTCTGTCTTCGAAGACGTCATTGACTGCTGAATCTCAAACCCGCTTTCTACCCTATGTGGCACTTGGCCATGGACTCAATGCAGAGGATTGGGCTACAACATGGGTGGAAGCTAGAGCTTCAGAGGGTCTGGGTTTCACAGACTATGCATTGCCAAGTTTTTCGGAACATCGAGGCGACTGGGTATCAGCTCCCATGAGCTCGTCCGAGGCCACGTGTTTCTTGCGGGACTACATGCTAGAGGCGGGAGTCAATCGGGAGGAGTTGCGCAACTTTGGATCCCACTCATGCAAAACGACACTTCTGACATGGGCGGGGAGATCGAGCATTGTGCGTTTCAGTAACTCAGACCGACGACAGCTTGGGCGCCATATGAAACCTGGGACCAAATCCATTCTCACATACAGCCGCGAGGCTTACACCACATTGTATGGGAGAGTGCTTGCAATGTTCAAGACGATTCGGAACGGGTCATTTGATCCTGACTTGTCGTCAGTGTCCCGTGTTGTGAAAACTGCCCAGGATGTAAATCAAGAACTTACAAGCTTTCCGGTCGAAGACCCAACTGCTGATGTTCATGTGACGGATTCCGAATCAAGCCTTGGATCGGAGTTGGACGCGCCACCTGAAACTCATCCTGATTTGGCCCAATTTGAGGCCCATCGAGTGAGGGACTTTGCAGCCATAGCGGCAAGCTCGCTAGTGGCTCACAGGGTTTCCGGTGTCGTCCATGTTGCAAATGAAGATGGATTCCTGCTGTGCGGCCGAAGGCCCTCTGCAAATTTTTCATCTTATCTTGACTGCGAAGGTGATCACCCCAACCTTGAAAGTTGTGTGCAGTGTCTCAGGGCCTTAAAGAGGTCGGCGGATTGAGATCTTGCTGGAATGGCAAAGAGTGAAAGCCAGCACCCTAGCTGAGTTGCACTCTGGTCAGTCAGCAAACCGGATCCACTGCATCTCAACTTTGTCTTGGTGTCGTGGGGGGGGGGAGGAGAGGAGGGGAAGAATTTTTAAATGATCCCCCTTACGCTTTCGCTTTCGATCCATGTTACGCCCACATTTGAAAGCCATTGGTGGAGGTGCTCCCGGCTTTCTGCCTGCAGCTGTGAAGGCCACAGAATGCAGAACCCGCGGGCGTGAACATAATCGGCACTTGGGCGTGCAGTGAATTTGGAAGTCAACCACCTTTTTCAGGGAAAATTTGTAATTTCTTGAACCGTTCTTGACAACAGGTTTACTCACGGCTTTTGGAGTTGGTCACTAACCTTGTGTCATTCCCCTGAAGCCAAGCTGGGGCGTGACCAACCCACCGTTTGCCATGACGTCGGCCACCCTGGAATCTGAAGCTGCCTTTTCAGAGCGTGCAGCAGCAATTGGGCTGGACCAGGCCACCATCACAGCACTCGGAACCGCAGGTTTTGCAACGTTTGGGACGTATGCGTTTGCTACTGCCTATACGCCGCAGAGTGCAGATGAGGCGCCTTTCAAGAGTTTCCTGGAGCGAGCAATCGGTCGGGAGCCAAGTGATTCGGAATTTGCTATGCTGCGCAGGTTGTTCTTTGAATCGCACACCTTGGCTTTATCTGATTTGCGGACGAGGGTGGAATCGACAACCGACCCTGGTACATCGACAAGGAAGTTGCCCACTGCGGAGAGGGTGGCGCGGCAGGCCAATCAGCAAACCAGGTTGTTGGGGGTGATTTTTGATCCAGATACAACCCCGGCCAACCAATTGGTTGATTACTATGTCGAGATGCTCGAGACGGGCGTGCTCTCTTATATCAAGCCAGAGCAGTGTTGCAGTCGGGCTCACGAGGTCGCTTTGGTTAGGAAGGATACTTCTATTTCCACTGACGCCAATGGTATGTTGAAGATAAGTTCCAAGAGCCCCGAGGCCTCTTGTGAGGCCAACGCGGAACTGAAGCTTCGGGCCGCTTGGCAGCGGAGAAGCTTAGCCATGGATCTAGCAGAGATTGCCAGTTTTACCACGGTGGAGACTTGGGTTCAGTATTTATTTGCGCAGCTCAGCAAAGATCAGCCCAGGGGTTTTTCGAAGATCACGCTGCAGCAGGTGCTTGATTGCGACAGACAGCTTTTCGTTCTAGCATCGCATCGGACCATGGGAAAATTGAGGACGCTTGTGCCCGGTGACCCCAAACCTTTGGACACTGCGATTGACAGCCTCAAGAGTTCCACGGAAGTCCTGCAGTATCTGACTCCACTACCGGCACTGCGAGCTCCGCCCACGCCAGTCCCGGGCCAGGAGCGGCCAGCCAAGATGCAGAAGGTCAACCCAACGCCGAAGCAAGGTAACAAACCCAAGGCTTCGGGTGCTGCATCTAGCAAGTTCCAGCTGCCGGAGGGGTGTGTCAGCCACGACGAAGAGAACAGACCGTTGTGTTTCCTATGGCAGCAAGGCAAATGCAAATTCAAAGGGCCACCGGGGAAGCGATGCGCGCGCGGGTTCCACAAGTGTTACAAGGCCGGATGTTTCCGCCTGAAGCCATATCATTTGTGTACCCACGCTGACTGACTCTCGGTGCAGACAGTTTCACAACCTTCCTCAAGGGATCCGCCGTTGTGTGTTGAGATTTTCGCAGGCAGGGCCAGCCTTTCACGAGCCCTACTCGAAGCTGGTTTCACGGTGCTAAGTATTGATCACGAAGTTGACTCGCCTTTTGCACCAATTGTTCAACTGGATCTGACAACAGCCAGTGGACAGGCCATCCTTTGGGATGTTCTGCATGCGCCGAATTTATTTGCAACACATCTGGGACTCCCTTGTGGTACTGCCAGCCGCGCCCGCGAAAGACCCTTGAGCAAGGAGCTTCGGGATCGGGGGGTGCCGCAACCCCCTCCACTACGGTCTGCAACGCACCCGCTGGGATTGCCGGGCCTTTCAAATTTCCATGCCTCAAAAGTGGTCAGCGCCAACCTTTTGTATGCATTAGCACTTCATGTTGTGCTTTTTGCGCTCAAAAGGGATGTCATTGTCAGTGTCGAGAACCCTGCAACTAGTTGGCTCTGGGCCGCTTTGATTGCTTTGTTGTTGAGGGACCACACCACTAGTGAAGCGTCTTTCTACAACCAACTGGTTCCAGTTACCTTCCATGCCTGTTGCCACGGCTCTCAACGCAAGAAACGCACTACCTGGTTATCCACTCCACATGTGTTTGAACCTTTACGTGCAGAGTGTCGAGAAGATCACGAACACCTTCCTTTTGGGATTTCGTGGCATCAGGGACGGTGGCATTTCGACACTGCGGCTGAACGGGTATACCCGCGAGTCCTGGCCCGACGCGTCGCTGCTTGTTTGGTCAAGGCAGCCGAGACTGCAAACAGGTCGCTACGGGCTCCGCCGCGACTTCATGATCTGTCTACAGGCCTTTGATCCCTGAATTCCACCATTTCAAGCGTGTTTCGGTCCAGGACCCTGTTCCCGACAACTGCAAACAGCTGCCTCCTAACGTAGGGGGTGAGGCGGAGGATGCAGCACCTGCTTTGAGCTCTTTGGCTGATACTGTCAAGTTGGGGTTCTACCACACACCGAAGCAATTCTTGGCCATGGCGATGGGTGTTCAACACCCTATGGATACAAGCCATCACGTGGAATCCCCAACAAGCTATGCCCTCTCTTTTGTGTTGAAGCACTCTGACGAGATGGTCAAGCTAGAAAGGAAGAAGAACCTGTTGCAGGCGCGGCTGATGGCCAAGCGACTTGTGAGTGAAGAGCAATTTTTGCATTCGGCGTTGGACCCTCCGCTACAGCGAGTGTTGGGCGGGAAGCGCCTGCTGCTGTGGAAAGAGCTCTTGATCAAATACGGGTATGATGACCTTGCAGTTTATGATTTCATGGCAAAGGGTGTTCCTTTGGTTGGGCAGCACGATGTTCCCTCTTGTTACCCCATCCAGCACAGGGTTGCAACCCTGACGGGCGATGACCTTGATCGGTCGGCCATCTGGAGGCGGAAGGCTATCTTGGGGAAGTTGCGTGGTGAGCCCAACTTGGAACACGTTGCGCATCTTGAAGAAGCTTGTCGGGAAGAAGTTGATGCTGGTTTTCTGGAAGGTCCTTTCCTGAGCGAGGTAGCAGTTTCAGAACGTCTCGGCAGAACTGACTGGTCTTTAATCCACCGTTTTGTGCTGGTTCAAGGAGCCGAAATGAAATTGCGGCCTATTGATGACTGCATGGAATCGCAGATGAACGCGGCCTACACTTCAACCTCATACTTGAAACTGCAGGATGTCGACTATGTGACGGGTCTTGCGCTTCAGGTGGCAGAAGCGTCCTCAGCAGGGAAACAGCGCCACGGATCCGGAACGTGGATGGGCAAGTGTTTGGACTTATCCAAAGCCTATAAGCAGCTTGGCATCTTACCCGCGCACCGGCACTATGGTGTGATCTTTTTCCATGACGCTGCAGGGAATCCGAAGTTTTACATTTCGAATTCCCTCATGTTCGGGGCTACAGCTGCGGTCTATGCGTTCAATCGAGTCAGTCGCAGTATCTGGTTCCTCATGAACAAAATGCTGGTTATACCTTGCGGCGTTTTCTATGATGACTTTCCGCTCCTGTCACCCTGCGAGACCGCTTCCAATGCCGATGAGTCGGCGAGCGAGCTACTGGACCTGCTTGGATGGCGCCATGCCAGAACTGGACCAAAAGGTTTGCCTTTTGCTTCCTCTTTCAACGTGCTTGGTGCCAAGCTGGACCTATCTCGTGTGCAGGAGGGCGTGGTGACTCTGGGCAACAAGGAGGGCCGAATAGCCCGCTTGGTGGAGCGGATGGGCCTCGCAAAAACTAATGGGAAGATGAGTGTTCATGAGGCTCAAGTCCTTCACGGGTTGATGAGATACTCGGTTGGCTTCTTTGCCGGCCGTCACCTGCATCAAGTCTGCGCAGAGCTCCTCCAGATGGGGGGCTCCAATGATGCCGAACAGGTTGCGTCTTTGGTGGATTATGCGGTGTCCATCCTTTCCATTTCCAAACCTCGTGAGATTTCCATCGGACGTGAAAAGCGTCCCCTTGTGATATTCACGGATGGAGCATGGGATAATGGTGTCGGAGGCCTCGGGGTTGTCGTCGTTGATACTGCCACCGATGAGCGTCTGGTTTTAAGTGGCAGTGTGCCTCAAAAGCTGATCAATTACTGGAAGGTGAAGGTTGGTGAGCAGCTGATTTGTCAGATAGAACTATTTGCAGTCTTGTGGGCGCGCTGGAGGTTCAGGGACCTTATTCGGGACCGTCGTACCATCTTCTGGATTGACAACGAATCGGCCAGATTCAGCCTGATAAAAGGCGTTAGCCCTAGCTTGACCATGCAATGCTTAGTGCGTGAGTTCTATCTTATGGATGTGGAACATCCCGCTTTCAGCTGGTTTGAGCGCGTGCCAAGCTCATCAAACGTGGCAGATGCCCCGTCCAGACGTGATCCCGAAGCAGCTTGTAGTTTGCTAGGAATTTCAAACTGGGAGGAAATTGCGGTACCGGAGGAGTTGACGCAGGCACTTTTTGCGAAGCGGCTGGTGATGTAAAGGGGGTGGAATCGGACCAGCTGGAATGCGTCAACTGACGTAGCCAGAACGGTCAAACAGATTCCAACAGATGCACGGTCACAAAATCTTTTGACCAACGATTTGCCCCTGACTCACCGCTCGGTGTCAAAAGAGGCGCTTCCGTTTGATTTCTTCTTGGCCCTTTTTAAACTACCCTTAAGGAACCTTAAGGGTAGCATGTTTTTGCACAAGAGTTTTCGTGGCAGTTTAGTATCACTGACACCTTCTCGGCCTATGGCTATGATGCAATAGGTTACATGCAAGGATGTTGGGATAACGCCTGATTATAAGGCAGCTGTGTGGTTCAGGGTTCTGGTGTGGTTTTGAGGGTGTGCCATAATAGACTTTGGCTGTAATAGGAGAAGGGGCTTTCTGCGTGCAGACATTACCTTCTCTCTATTTTTGCCAAACAGGGTGCTTGCACCCGGTCTATTCTTGGCACCCCTGCCCAACCTCACCAAACACTGAGCCCAAACACGCGTGATGGAAACAGAGATCTCAGTTTGATTTTTGTTTTGCATCCATGTTTTCCTTTTAAGGAACGCTGACCAACCAACTGCTGTGCCGGCGTGTCAGTCGTTTCGATGTGTGACATGTCAACCATTGTGCTCCCGTTGTCTCGGCTTGAGGGTGTGGTGGGTGGGTTTCCCCCTTTTTCCTTGCCTTGTTGTTTGACTTGGTGATTGTCCCGCCCAGCCCATCCCTGACTAGGGGGTGGAATCGGACCAGCTGGAATGCGTCAACTGACGTAGCCAGAACGGTCAAACAGATTCCAACAGATGCACGGTCACAAAATCTTTTGACCAACGATTTGCCCCTGACTCACCGCTCGGTGTCAAAAGAGGCGCTTCCGTTTGATTTCTTCTTGGCCCTTTTTAAACTACCCTTAAGGAACCTTAAGGGTAGCATGTTTTTGCACAAGAGTTTTCGTGGCAGTTTAGTATCACTGACACCTTCTCGGCCTATGGCTATGATGCAATAGGTTACATGCAAGGATGTTGGGATAACGCCTGATTATAAGGCAGCTGTGTGGTTCAGGGTTCTGGTGTGGTTTTGAGGGTGTGCCATAATAGACTTTGGCTGTAATAGGAGAAGTCAACCTCCCTGCGCCCCTGAATCGGCACCTTTGAGCAACACCAGACAAAACGGTGCTGAACGATGCGTTTCCGTTCGTTGGCCCAAGCAGTGAACAGGATTGTAACATGACATTTTTTAGAGCTGCGCTTTATTTCGGTTTGTGGGAGGGGTTTGGTTGGTATGCGGGGGTTAGAATGGTTTGTTTGCGGGGAGTTTTATTTTGTTTGATACATGTAGCATGCAGCTTGGCCGACAGTGACGTAGACTGAATATGGGGGTCAGATACCGCCATTTCAACACGAACTTGGTAAGATAGGGAAAAAACAAGTGAGCATGAATGTGGCAAAGTATTGCAGCAGCAACAGGAATTTTGTTGATACCCTGAAGTCACGCCGAAGTCTGTTGTGCATTGTGAAGCCTGCACACGGACATATTCGGCGCACATGCGCCAACCTACGTGGCGGAATGGAGCAGCACATGAATGTATGCTTGAAAAACTCTGTGCATTTCTTTTGCGCGTGCGCCGTGCTTTTTTGGAATTGTTGTACTTGCCAAGGGGTTGGGATGTTTTTGGGTCAATTGTGTTGTTGGTTGCGGTGGTTTGTCTTGCAGTTCACGAGCTTTTGTGCGTGTCACAGTTGGAGGCATTTTGGCATTGAACATGCACTGATGCAGCAATACGCATAGATGCCGGTTTTGATTTGCTTGATTCTTGTTTCTTTTGAATCATCTGATTTGGGATTGTTTTGCTTTCAGTACATTGCTTGTGGTGTTGCGCAATAAGGCATTGGGTGTTTGAATGACGTTTGGAGCGTTGCAATGTGTCCACCACATTTTTGTAAACAGAGTCTTGCAATGCTTGCAAGTCAGATCGGTCAAACATGGACTAACCCAAACCATTTGCGATGCATGACACATGCTTATGCATGCCTTTACTAAATGTGTTCTTGCCAAGATGGAATGTTTTTCCTTTTTGAAACAATTTGTGGGTTTGAGGTTTGATTGACCGATATGAACCCTTGCCTTTCCGGATCAGAACACCGACTTTTTGTGTGGTTTATTTGTCGTAGATTTTTGGGCTCACAGCAATGAGCACGTGACATATACATATACATATATATATATATACAACATATACAAATATATACACATACATATATACACACACACCCACACCCACACGCACACACAAGCACACGCACACATACACGCGCGAAGCACATATCAGCCCTTTCACCACCAGATCATGACATTTCTGGCATTGCAGAGGCAACCTTTTGCAGTTTCAGCCATGCAGCCAAATGATTCAGCCACCTTTGCACGACAACCTTTAGCTTCCACAAATCTTGATGGAAATCACACAATCGATGTACGATCAGATGGCGCGTCATGGGTTTCCCCTGCTGAGTTGGATGTTGAGTGAAGGGGAGCTGTCACGGGAGACTTGGCAATTTGCTACGGAGTGGACACTCAACCGAGCAGACGCTGCTTGATACGGAAGCATTCAATCCATGGCAGGATTCCTGAGAAGTGACTCACGGACGTCGATTGGAGGCACTGGCGCTGGGGCTCTCCAGATGTTCAGTACTGTTGGTCAGAACGCCTGCCACAAAGCTCCCTGCAACCAGCGAAGGTGATTCTCGGGACAGCCAAGGAAATGGTCACTGCCAATGTGGTGTGTAGTTCAGCGTTCGTTGAACAAGCATTTCGTGTGGAGTCAGCTGTTGTCGTGCTCCGCGACAAGCTTCACCTGTTGCACCTACCGATCGGCCGTCAGTGTCAAGTTCTTGTTCCACGTGTGGATATGGAATTGTACCGGACTGCCGCAGCTTTTGCTCAAGCACTCGTTTACATTCCAGAAGACCCCATGACGTCGTCCGCATACCAGCGGATGCCGCTGGACAAGCGGCCAGACTTCCGCAAGATCTTGGGGGTAGCAGGCTTGGCGCAAAAAGACGCCATGTCCGTAAAACACACAAACGCTGTTTCGTTTGATTGTGAACACCTGGACGCCATATGGTAGGCCTCTACACAGTGATCTCCGGAATGATCAATGGTGCCTGCCTCATCGACTGGGACAGCCTACCCGGCATGCATTTTTTTTCGCTTTAGGAATTGCCCTCGTCGAGTTGGGCACACCAGTTGGCTACACTTCGGGAGGGTGTGTCAATTCAGGTGGGGCTTAAGCTTCATGTCCAGAGCCAGCATTTACCAGCTCCAATCATGACATGAGAGCACGCAATTTTGCGCAGGTCGCGCTTTTTCAGCTGGAGATACCAAGAATGGGTCAAAGATCCTGGCCATGTGCACCATGTTCTATGCTGGAGGCCTGCTGTGTCTGCAACACCTTGTCATGGGCAATCACGCTTTCGTAGCTCTATGACTGCCAGGTATCCTTGCTGGAATTTGGCCAAACGGTTGCGACGGCGACCTCGTGTTCGAGGGCAAGACATCACCAGGCGGGATGCAAAGTTTGCACAGCGAAGTAGGCCAATAGCAGTGCTTGCATAGAAGCGCCTGGACAGGAATGCTGCTCTCTTCAATCATGATTTTGATTGGAATCTGGATGAAGAGGCATCGGGCAAGGCCAACCCTCGCCATGCAATTCTGGGCGCTGTCCCAAGGCATGATGAAACTTGGCATTTGTGTGTCGTTTTGCAGGGAGGCCTCGACACCCTGATATTGCACAAGCATGGCTTCAGCCGATCTTGGCGCCCTGCAGAGCTAGCCCTGCTCTGAACCGTGCTAAACAATTGCACGCTGGGCAGATGAGTTCTGTCAATTGAGCCAAGTGACAAATCCACCGCTTGGTTAAAGTGCTTACCCTCCCACCAACATGGAAGTGCACAGACCCCTGTAGAAAGACTACTTTCCTCTTGGAAAGGGCCTTTTTGCACTTCCATGTTCGGTGGGCGGCTGAACCACTCAAAAGAGCCACCGAATGTGGATGAATTCGAAATAGGTAGATTGATCTGGGGGTGTGCAGAATTCCCGAACTGCCTTTTTCACAAAATCATGTTCACTGGGTCTTTGTGAATAACTACCCTCCCAATCAAAGCAGCCATGTTTGAGATCCATGCATTGTTCAGACTGAGGAATGCTACCTCAAGCAGTTTCAGTGCAGTGCCCATGCGTGCCACACATACAGCCGGTGGGCAAACCGATGCCGCCATCAGTTTGGGCAAGGCACGCACATGTGGTAATCGCACGACATGCCATGAACGCCTGCTTTGAGGCTCTGGTGAAGTTTCTGAAGGGAGAACCTGTTCCATGTCAGCGCAAAGTCTGCCTCAATGCAGTTTGCTGTGTAGGCACGAGGGGGGGGACGCGCACTTTCTGTGACATTCCACAAGTTCATTTCTGCGCATTGGGACTTGTTTCTCCTTTGCCTGGCTTTGTCAGCACCACTTTCTTACCAGGAATGATTTTCGGCGGCTTGCTGGCCGGGATGCTTTGCGAGCATATTCAGGTATCACACTGACGGTGCACTCAGGGGGCAACTTTGCAAGTCATTTCTGTGGGAGATCTCAGGAAATCTCAAAAGAAATACGGATGCTTCGCAGCGCTGATGCCCGCGGGAGCTTTGGCATTCTCTGCAACGATCCTTCCTAGAATGATTGCACCTGCATCATGGCTGGAATGGTGTTTGACGGCGATCTGCCGTGGTGAGTGAGTGATGCGCTCACTGCTAGGCACCGACAGAGAGTAGCGATGCGAAGGACGACGTCAAGAACAAATGACAGTGGCTGGGACGAGCAACGCTCAGCAGGGAGTCAAACCGCGTGGCGGTACATCATGGTATTGCGATCTGCGTGATCCTCCAAAAAGCAGATACTGAAGTATAGATCCTGTTTGCATCACCTCAAAGTCACAGAAAGCAAGGCATTTTGTTGTATCCCATCTCAACACTTAAAACCGCCAGCCTGGGGCAAACGATGCCATTTGATGCAATGCCCAGCCAGGTGGACCAGTTGCAATCAGGTCTTTTGTCAGCCCTTCTTGCAGTCAGCGCTTCAGCAGAAGCAAGCATGAGGAGGGGTCAGGTGCGCTGACGCCCACGCACAGTTCTCCAAGAATCAAGTGAGTCACAATCAAAACCCGGGGAAGTGAAGGTTAGTAAGGGACAATCCCAACTATTAACAGCTGCGGCTGCCTTCTTAATTCTTTACATGATTCTGGGTCCACCATTTTAATACCAGGGTTTGATTATGGCTCAAATACTTGGCTTGCAAATGGCCCCTCCTCGCCAAGTGGAGGGCAGACTAGGTCTTGAGGCGTTCTTGCGCCAGTGGGGCAGTTGAATCTTCCAAATCAGGCTGCCCAATGAGCTGAGAATTGCAATCCGGACACCGTTTGGCAGTTTTTCTTGCGAGAGGAAAAGAAGATATTCAATGAATTCCGTAGCTTCGCAAGGAAATATGTTTTGCAGTGGGGCGGCTTCCGATCGCAGCATTGCTTTGAGATGCGATCTGAGAAAGACATGCAAGCACCAGGAAGAATCTTAGCAAAGAACGGAATGGTTCAGCAAGCCACAGTTGTTTGAGAGATAGTACTGGCATACCTGGCTCAGCACTTGACAAGCAGCACAAACATAGAGCGCTGTAACGGCTGCTTCGCGCATGGCATCTTCGGCCTGGCTGGCGCGGCTCATGATGCTGTTCCCTCTTCTATATGCGGGTAGTCTCTACCAGGCAGGGATTGTTGCCTGCGTTGGTGTGTGGAACCTGCAGACGTTGACAGCTGCCAAGGTCACATTTCTTTCTCCGGCTGGTAGCAACTCTGCTCTTTCGAGCTTACACCATCCCATGCAAGGCGAGCCTTCTTGAGATGGCCTGGCCATGGCGCTTGATCATAGACGCGCGTGTGGAGTTGATCGTATTCGGCCGATCAGTTTTCAATTGGCCCTCATGTCCTCCGAATAAAACGATTTGACTCCTCTTGATGTGCAGGTAGACGGCCTCAGCCACTTTGCAAAGCGCCGTCTACCGGGCGGCTTGGCTGGTGACTATGGGAATCAGTTGCAGGTCTATGGGACTCAGTTTCTTGACTGTGGGAATCCCTCAAAAGTGATTGGTGGAGATGAATCCCCTCAATGATGTCCACCACAGGGTCCCATAGAATCCATACCCATAGATTCTCGCAGGAGACTTTCGCTGGGCCTCGCGCTGGGCCTTGCAGGCCGAGGCCTCACCCGCCGCTTCGCGAAGGGAGCAGCAGCCGCGGTGGCGGAAGCGCAGCTTTCCGTAGAGAGCGAGAGAGTTCACGGCTTTTTTCTTTTTTGGAGAGCAGGCTTTTGTTTTTGTTTTTCTGGTTCAATGGGTATGGCCCGGTATGGCTCAAAATTAACAGAGCTGGGGCAAACCGCGGGTTTCAGTCTTTGGTTCCATTTACCAAGGCGCCATTTTGGCATCACTTTTTCGAGCCACAGCAAATCCTTTGGAGAGCAGGCCTTTGCTTTCTTTTTCTGGCGGGCTGCTGAGTGGCTCTTTGCCCAAACATGCTGAGCAATTGAATCATTGAGCTGCCCTTGTGCTCTATCTTGTGCTGTTGCTCTTGAGATCTTGCATCTTTTTTGTCTTCCCTGACCACCACTCAACCAAGCAGATCAAGGAAGGACAGGTTAACCAATCAGAGTTCATTTGTTTGGCAGCAAGGACCTTTTGGAGAAATGCCTCGATTTGGGTGGTTAGATTGAACAGTGCTTGTGCAAATCTAAGGCTTGGGCCTGAACATCGGATCAAAGCCAAATCCAAATGCCTGCGACCGCTCATCGTTGCAATGGGCACCCGAGGTGATGCGCCTCTGGCAGCAATTATGTTGGAAACCATGTTGCTTGCAAGGTCCAGAAACTTGCTTGGAGCAAGTCTGTCACAGTGAAAGCTGGTTCTTAGCCACATTCATTCACCCGAAAGTTCATCAACATGTTTCAGCGAAAATGATGACCAGACAAATTGAGTGAAGCGTCACACACTCAAATCCAAGCTGTTGCACCACACAAGTGCTGTGCCTTTTGTGGCACGGCCTTTGTTATGTCGCAAAAAGGAAAGGTGATGCTTCCAGCAGTGCCCCCCATGTCAATGAAAGCTTTGGGCTCTCCCTGCCTTTTCACTTGGGCGTTGCTTGCAGATCAACTCTGCGGGTTTTTAATTCACGGAGGCCGAGCCGGGATTCCGCCTGGCAGCTGCACTGAAAGACCGTGGCCACGTTCCGCTGGTGGTGTCTGAGCTGAAAAGCAGCACGGGTCACAATGCAAATCGTACCCCGTGAACAGCAACCAAGCACTAAAATAGGTTCTAAAATGGTGGTGAATTCATCTCCCAACCAAAAGGGGACCATTGGTTTTTACCACCACAGCCAGCTGACAGATTGATTGGGACAGACCGTTTGAAGTCTGACACCGGTCCTTTTGGCAGGCTAACGGACTTAGTTTCCTCAAGCACGGGGCTGTGGGCTGACAACTCAAGTGCATCACGAGGTTTCTTTGGATGCTTACAAGAAAGAAGCGGTTGAGCGGCAACCTGATGCATTCAGTGGTGAATTTTCAATGAGGTTCACTGACATCAAGTGACATCAAGTCTTTTGCCGTCTGCTTAGGTGGGGCCTGGACTTCAGATCTTGCGGCATTTCCAAAGTTCCCCTTTCGGAGGAGTATCTGACTGGCAGCACACGTGCAGATCAAGTGTATGCAGACAGAGGTTGGTATGGTGATGCCTGGACTACTGTCGGACGCTTTGCAGGGAAGGTACACTTGCGCTTGCAGTTGTGTTTGATTTACTCCATGAATGTCCTGCATTCTTGATATGTTCCTAGAAACCAGCCAAGGCAAACAAATTTTTGCAGCCGCCACGGAGCACCAATGCGATGTAATCGTAGCAACCTCAATGGGTAACACGCACAGCTTGGATGTTGCAGAGGAGCTGGGGATTCTTTGCATGGCTCTGAAGTTTTGTCCTGATATAGATGGTCAAGTTCCGACCGGGAGCTTTCCCCCTTCAGGATATCCGAACATACCTGGGCCTGCAAATTTCTTTCTGCACATGGTGGAAAATCTACGCACTGTCGCAGCGGTTTTCCGGGGTGGCTTCATTCCAAAGGTCATCGAGTTCCGTACGGCGCTTGGGCTACCTTCCCAGGAGATTCCTTTTGTCATGGAAGTGCCGACTTATTCGCCATATCGCCAAGTGCTGCAGGCGAACCAGCCAAGCCTGTACGCGTTCAGCAGGGCTTTGGTGGATGTACCTCCTGAGTACCAATCCTGGCACTTTGTCCCTGGCTTTTTCGCTCCGCAAGCTTCCGATACAGATTTGACCGCTTCGCTGCAAGAGTTTTTGAAGATCGAAGCGCCTGTTTGTATAGCATTTGGGTCTATGACCTTGGCCCGCTCTGCCCCGTTTGAAGAGCGTGCTGTCGAGGCAGCAAGGCGTCAAGGAAAGCCGGTGCTCATCGTAGATCCGGACGCGGAATCTGAAGGTGTGTCTCCCGATGACCCGTCAGTATTCCGGCTCCGCTCAGCACCATACAGTGCCTTGTTCCCAAGGTGTTGCTTGGTGGTGCACCACGGTGGTGCCGGCACTTTGCAAGATTGCCTGGTCGCCGGCACGGCGCAGCTGGTGGCTCCGGTTTTGTCGTGGAGCGATCAGCCCTTCTGGGCTGCGGCGCTGGAAGAGAAGGGCCTCGGTGTGGCGCTGGGAGGCGGCGGGGAAGCGCCGGAGGCCGGCAGCTGGGACGCAGCCTATCAGCGATGCTTTCAAGGGCTCCAGGAGTTTCAGCAAGCTGCTCGGGCACTCAGTGACGCGATGGCCAAAGAAGGTGGTGTGGATGCCGCCTGCCAAGTCATTGAGGATGCACTTCTTGGAGCCTAGATCTCCTGGAGGGCAATGCCCTGTTTAGATTCTGGATGGCTTTTTGAAGATCGCTTGTGCCAGAAAAGGCAAAGGTCTGGTTTGCTCTTTTTTGCATGCGAGGTGCAAGCACTGGGTGGCCATTTAACCTCTTGAAGTTATGCACGGGTGGCTGGTTGCAGGCCCTGCAGTCAAAGACATGGATGTGAACTTTGATTTCGAGGCCAGATGCATCATACATGGCTTCACAGTGCGGCGATGCCGGTCTTGGAAGTGACAAGCTAACTTTGCTTGTTGCACCAGTGTTCATTTTTACATATAAGTATCTGCATAGATATATGGTATATATGTACGTTTCCCGACGTTTGTTTTTGAGTTCTGACCCGGCAATGAACGGTTCAACAAAGTCCATGAACGTGCCAGGCAGAGATCGATGCCAAAGACTTGAGCCGAGCGGAGAGCTTGCGGGCCTGGTGCGTGTGTTCTTGTTGGTGACCCTTTGTGAATATGTTGTGGGGTGGTTCTTGCACTGTTCTCTGAATATTTTCTGCAGGCAGATGGATTTACCTCATCTGAGGGTGCCCTCAATCGAGGCCTCCATAGATTTGTACATTGTCCCGCACACCACGATGCTTTCAGGCTCTCGGACAGTTTGCCGGCATTATTTGAGAGGCCTTTGCATGAAAGGCTGACGCCTGAGTCTCGTTTGAGAAGTGCAGTTTGCATCATGGCTATCCTGCCCTGCCAAGGTGACAAGTGCGATTACTTGCATCAGTTTGACCCCAATCGAATGCCGGAGTGCATGACCTTTCTGAAGGCTGGATAGAAAAGGGCATTGAAATGCTGATTGATGAGCCCTTGCACGGAACACTTGATTAGCTTGCCGTTCGCAGTTTGGAAAGTGTCTGGACCCCGTGTGCATGTTCAAGCACGTTGCGGCCAGTGAGCGAGGAGCCAAGGACACGTTACGGGAATTGATAGTGCTGCATGAGCCCTTCATGCGCTTTCAGGAAATGACTTACCAAGGCGGCAGGAATGTCCTCGCTATCGCAGCGCACTTGGCATTGAGAGAGCTATGGCTGGATTCGGAAGATGTTTGTTGCTCCACAGTCAAGCTGCTCAGGCCTCGGCTTTTGCAAATTTGGCCCGCTGTGCCGATTTACGCAGGGGCCTCGGAAAGGTTCGGGCAGCGTCTCGATGGCTGTGACTCAGCATCCCAAGTCAAAGTGGCACTGACGTACCTAGGCATGAAAGACTGACGCGGCCCCAGCGCTCTGAGCGGTTGGGAGAAATGCATAACAGTTTTATCTCAGGCCGAGGGACAAGATGCCTGATGTGTGACAGGCTTATTTGTGCCATGGATTGAAGACACTGTGCCTCGAGAGGGTCATCCTGGGTCACTTTTTTGTGCATGCTGTGCGAGAACGTTGGCGAGAAGTTTGGGGTTTGCGAGCAAGGCTTCCAGATTGGTTTCTGATGCCGCTACTCAAGAATGCGCGGGAGCCCTCAGCTTCACAACATGAGCTATTGCATTCATAGAGTCATTTTAGTGCTCGCGAGACGGGGCCAAAGGACGACTTAACACTGTTACAGCCGGGCCGCAGTCAGAGATACAATCACTCAACCCCTATGCTTCCTCGCGACTCTCAACAAAGAGAGGCTTTCTATGTTGGTATACGCCCAACTTATTGGTTTAGTCATCATTTCGTTCCCAGAAGGGTATTTCGGGTTTGTGATGACAAAGCTGGCAGTCGCTGTCTCCAGGCACTTGGTGCCCAGGGCGGAGGATGTGAAGCTTTCTTCTTTCGAGTTCCGGGGGAGGACCCCTAGCCCATGGCGAGCAATGTAACATGTGGGTATGGGTCAAAATTAAACCACCAGGAATCGGACCGCAGGTTTTAGTCCTTGGTTCCATTTACCAGGGTTCAATTTTGGGTACCTATTTTTGACCCACAGCCACATGTGGCGTGTCGTGTTTCACCATGGCCACTGCATGGCCGTTGCATGTGTTTCAGACAAATCTGCAGGAGCTTTGATGAAGCGGCAGCATCCTTGGGTTCATTGAGCCTGCATCCGTTGGAATCATGAAAGATCAGGAATGCGACATACTTTATGCCAAGTTTGTTTGGCCAAGCCATCTCAGGTGCCGTCAGCTTCTGGGGAGCTTGGAGCCATACCTGGCTTGCCGCCTCCAGTGAATGGCGCGGCAAGTGCTTGTGCTTCTGACGTGTAGTTGGAAACGCACTTGACAGGGCCCAACCGCCCAACCCAGCTTTGAAGCAAAGTGCTGTTTGCCCCTTTCAACTGGTAGATGTTTTTCATGCAAATGCTGCACCACCTGGGCAGGCAAATGCCGATTCTTTGCCGGAAGCTTAAGACATTGTTCAGCATGGCAACAATCGAGTTCCGCTCTTCAAGTTGTTTTTGTTCACGTCCTGTAGTGACACAACTTCAGGTGATGCGATCAGCGTGCCTCGCTCGGCAGCGAGGCGGTTTTTACACCGCTTTGGTGTCGAAAGATCTAAGGAACCTGAGAAACGTGCAGATCTCTGCCTGCAAGGTGGGCTCGACACATGCCTAGAGCTGCTGGCTGGTTCGTGCTTCGAGTCTCGTGACTCAAAGAATTCAGAACTTCGGGAGTTGCACTGGACATCACTTCAGATTTTGCAATCGGTGTGAGTGGTTCTGCCTCTTGTCAGGAACTGTGAGTTGAACTTGACAGGAACCACTTCGTATCCTTGCTAAAGGCAAGATGAAAGAGGGTGGCAAAGTTCAGTTGCGCAGAGTGCTTTTGTAAATGGCAAAAGCGCTTACGGAGAAGCACAAGGGCTGAGCTGGTGCCTGATGCAAATCTGAATCGAAATCGAAGAGCGGAGAGCTTTCAAGTCTGCTCCCACACCCTCATACCTTTCAGCATGCACTCGCGTTGGCACGTTGACACTTGACTGCCAGTAAAGTGCATGTCTCGGTATGCAGCATAGGCTGTGAATTGTATTGTGGGAATGCGCAGCATGGAGGTGTAGCCGTTGCATTTTTGAAGCTAAGTTGTGCTTTCACCACAGCAGTGACACTGTGACAAGAGCGAGGATGCAACCTTCTGACCGAAGCCATTTCCAAGAGGTAATGCGCAGGCAGAGAAAGTTGACTTGGTGACTGACAGTGACCGATAGACTGTCCGATGAGCTAGCTCGTTTCAGCGGCTTTGGATTTGCATATTGGAGGCTGCACATGCAAGAGAAGTGTCTTCATGAAGCGGGCAGTTCCGTTTCCGGTTGTGGAGAGGCTTGCGAAGGTCGCTCAATTTCCACATGTTGTTTGACCATCGAAGCTCGTTTTTTCTCCCTGAATGGTTGCCAAAAAGACGGAAAGAGCGGAAGTCAAGTTTTAATGCCAGCTGATGCTGACAGCAACACCTGAAACAGCGTGTGCTTGCCAGGGTATCTGGGCGACTGGAGGTGGCAACACCTCAAAGCTTTGTCAGGCTGCTTGCATTTCCAGCTCGTGCTGTTTGCCACGCAAAGTGTCCAACCTTGACGTATTCTTGAAAGCCATGTGATGTCAAAGTTGGCTGCGAGTCTCAGATTCAGAGTTTCGTGTCAGGGCTTCCGGGAAGTGGATCATGTCATTATGCAGCTTGGCAAGAGGCCTCGAGTTGACTCCAGCCACCCTTGTTGCAAGGGACGGAATTCACCGCTGAGGATCTTCACCTCCGCCGAGAGCCGGACGTTCTTAGGGTGGGCATGAGGTTCGGCGCCTAGTGCATGATGTCTGTGGTGTGCAGGTATGCTCGAATGGTCGACGAGCCGGACAGCAGGCTGTTCCCAGGCTCTGCGTTCTTTGCTATGGTGCAGAGGGTCAATTGTTTTGAGCCAGGCATTTGGGGAACCTTCTCCAACCGGCTTGGCCATAGCTTCAAGGCTGAGTGAAGTGGGGTCTATGAGTGTGAATTGTAAGCCAGCGAAGTCTTCGCTCACCTGCCGCCAGCCTATAGCCTGCGGCTCAAAATGACGGGCACGCCAGCTTGAAGTGTTTGTCCTGTTCTTTTCGGGAAGCAGCCCCGGAGGGCTGCAATCAGACTCTACTGTCGGACTCAGCATCTCGCTTTGCTAGCTATTGCAGAACATGTGGCTTTTGCTCTGGGCATGCCTGGCGGCTGGCGCGCCGGTGCAGCCTTCTGTTCGAGCCCTACAAGCAGATGACGAATGTGGAGGTAGCGCTCACGTCGTACATGTGTAAGCGCACGCATGACATTGATAGTTAGATCATTGGTAGATGTATGTGCTTCTTGTTGAGGGAGCAGACCTCCACGGATCCACAGCAGGTGGCGCGAACAATTGCTCGCTGCACTCCCTGCAGTTGCGGGCCAAGCTGAACAGCTGCTACTACAAGGGTATATTCTTGGCTGGGAAGGCTGTGTCAAGCTTCGGCATCCCCAGTCACTGCATCTACCGTCGATGTTGTAAAAAAAAGAAAGAAAAACTGACGCAATCCCATTGGTTGAACGTGCAGGTACAAGAGGTCTCGCACTTCCCAGACATCGAGGTCGAAGTCGTGAGAAGCTTCCCAGACCTGGACGTGAAAGTGGTGAACCACTTTCCAGACAATTGCGGAGAATGGCAAATGGTTGAGCATTTTCCAGACTTCACCGTGCGATTTGTGCAGAGCTTTCCGGACATTAAGATCCGGTACGTCACCAGCTTTCCAGGGCTCTATCACAGGTGACCTTGAAAGGTCGTATCATGTATTGCATGGTGCCAACAACTGTTGAATCAAGGGCTGCATTGGCGCGCCGAGCACAAGAACTCAGCGGTGCTGTAAGCCCTTCTCTTTAAAGATTTGGAAGAGTGATCTATGTTCACTCAACCACAGATTTGCTCTTCCGCTGAACATGTAGCGCTCGTCTGCTGCCTGGAATGACTCTGGAGGGTATCGGTGCTAATATCACGTGCAATCGGAGTAAATGGCGTTTTTGCACCACGTCAAAGTCCAAGTTGAGTTTTTGCGCGAACAGGTTCACTGGCTCAAGCAGTGCTCTGTGAATTTGGCTCGTGTCTCAAGTCCTTTCCATTTGCAATCAGCTTGACGCTCTTTGTTTACAGCCAATCATGCTGAGGCGGCCGCTGATCACATTCGAAACCCTCAAAACGACGACAAGCCTGTCCGTCAGGGCAAGGATGGTCAGGCCGTTGCTTTGCAAGAAAGTGGTGTGACCTGTCTCCAAATGTAATTTGGAATCTGCCAGGAACTTCCTGCTAGCGTAGGGGAGCGGCTGTGTCGCTTCCTGTGGCAGGAGCGTGATGAGGACTGCTCTCAGGTTGGTAGTTGGCTTAGAGCGGGTTTGGGGTGGGAGTGGCGCGTTTTTTGGGCGGGATTTGAAGTTGGTGTCGGGTTAGTTCAAGGTGGGGTTTTGAGTTGGTTCAGGGTCGGTTTGGGGATGTTTGGGGTAAGTTTGGGTGGATTCAGGCTTGCTACAGCTCAAAGCCAAAAAGCATTGCCGAAATGCCGAAACGCCGAAACGCCAAAATGCCAAGCCAAGCCCAAAAAGCAAGCAACCAAGTTTCCCTCGAAAACGAACCGCACCTCCCCTGTTTGGCCGAGAGTCGACCCGGGTATCTTGTGTATTTGAATTGATGTTCGCTTGGGCGAGCCTGGATATGTTTTGTAAAAGCTACAAGCCAGAAGCCAAAAGACAAAAAACAGATCCAAGAGACGCAAAAAGCAAAACGTGCATCAATTCAAATACTTGGCCGTAAGAGACACAGCCTGCGAGTTGATGGGAGCAAGGCAACCCAAAAGAAACTGCCCTAAAGGCATCCCTAAAGAAAGTTCTGATCACTGGCTAGTCCCAAGTGAGAGAATAGGCAACCCTACCCCACTCCACACCCATCCTGCACCCTTCACAGCCCCAAACCAAGCCCGCCGACGATGTATCCGCAGCCCGAAAGCTTGCCTGACTTCGCCCCCAAAACACCAATCCTCCTACCCAAGCCTCAAGGACGCCGAGCCAGCTGGCAGACCCAACATACATTGATAGCAAAAAGCGGTCCCCCCCATCTTTTTCCCTAGGTTTGTTCCTTTGGTGGACTTAAAACAGTGACACTTTGACTCAACACTGCCCGTGAAACGCCGGGCATACTTGTGGGAAGTTTACGACTTTTGGGGGAAAGGTATGCAAAAACAATCCACAAGTACACTGCCGAAAATGGACCATATGCCTTCTTCCAGCGAGTTTTTCTTTCTTGCATGAATTGTTCGAGTATTTCTGTCATTTTTTGACTTGCCCGAAGTAGATTAGCACTGATTATTTTTCCAGGGTTTTGGGGTCATTTTCTTACTGTTTTAGGTTTCAGGTTTGCAGATGCATGCATCTGCAGCTACAAGAAGCATTCTGAGTATATTTGTATCTTTAGACAGTAAGACATCTAATTTATTTATCATATTCTAATACACTAGTTCACCAAGGTGTATATTAAGTCTTTCTAGAATTAGTCTAGGGGAAGTATTCTTTCCAGGGATCCTTCTTTCTGGAAAACCACCAAAAACCCTGGGGAAACGGCTGGTTATTGAAAAGAACGATGGCTGAAAAGAATGGGGAATCAACCCCTAGAATTAGGTCTGAAGCCCCATATGCAACAATACAATCTGTTTCCATCTCTCCAAGTCTTAGTCCACCTACCTAAGATCTGATCTACCTTCCGTTGCTTGCTTCGTTCAAGGTTGAACTGGTCCAGGTGAATGGCCATGGGTCAAAATCCAAATCGTACCTCCAGTGAACATCCCCATCCAACCACTAAAATAGACTAAAATGGGTGGTGCACCTACCCCAAAATGGTACCTTTGACACAGCCATATGTATTTGTTCGTTTGCTAAATGTTGTATCTTTAGATACTGTGAAACGCCCACTAAACACTGTTGACTTCGTTCAATGACCTGTTTTTGCATCAATATACTCTACACCACTGTATTTACCGATACCCTCTCTCGCAGCTAGTTGAATAGTTCATAGTAAGTGCTTATACTCGTAGAAAAGACCGCTTCAGCAAGCGCACCTTCTACAACTGCTGGTTTATTTAGCAATATCTCATGTAGGTTGCCTGTAAGATGTTTTGTAGGATGTATGCTACCTGCGAGTACCACATCAGGCATCAGGTGTACTTCCATTACAATTTCATTTATAAAGTTCCAAGGGTTTAGTAGTGCCCCTATTGCTCCTTTTTGTGCTATCTAGGCAAGATGTCCCCTAGAGCAGTAGGTTTTGTCATGCTTTTCTTACATGCAAATTGTAGATAGTTTAGGATTTCTGGTAGTCCTTTGTCAAGGCATTGTTTGTCTTCACTTGTGTTTCCATCTGTGCTTGCAACAATTGCTGATGGCCCATCTTGTCAGTCAGCGTGACAAACTCCTCTCTGGAGTTGCACGCGGATGGCAATACTGCGGATGGACGAAATCGGTTCGCAACAGATTGAAACCATGGTAAACCATTGTTTGTTGGTATTTACAGGGGAATCATCAAAAGCCAGGGTTTCTCAGGTGGTGCGAAATGGATTTCGCATCCATCCACAGAAAAAACAACATTTAACAAAAAGTCCAAAAATCCCCAGGACATCCTGAAGGGCTCAGAGCTGGAGCTGCGGCCTGAAATGAGAAGGAGCTGCGCGTTGGAAATCAGCCCATGGCCCAAGGTTCGAGCCCCGGGTGCGCTACGAGTATCCAGAGCCCAAGGACCGAGGGAGCTGTCTGGCTTGGCGGTGGGACCAAAGTTTGATTCAAGTTTTGGTTGGCTGGGCCCAGACATCAAAGCAGCTCTCTCTTCAAGAGACTCCGTATAGATGTTTACCAATTCTTGGCAGACTTGGAGCACATTCAGATTCAGCAGCATGCGGGAAGCATTTGGCCAGCCCTTTCCTTGCTGAGGAGCAGGAGGAGGCTGCGGGTCAGGTATGCCGGCTGCAGATCCTAATCCTTTATGTCGGCACTGGCTATGGGAAGGGTGATGAAGCTTTCTTGCGGAGCAGGGGCTCGGGTAGTGATGGTTGCTTGTTTGCATATGTTCGCCATCAAATGGCAGGCCCCGCCGCTGGCTTTGGAAGATGCGAAGAAGGACGACCGAAGCAAAACACGAGTCGTGCGAATTCAGATGAAAGTCAACAGGCCAGTAGCGACAAGTGGAGGGACAGCAGCTATCTTTGGCATTGCACAAAGGCAGGACGTCGTTTCAGCCCAGACGTGACTTCCGACGATCAGCACGCACTGTGTTTATTGTTTGTTTGTAGGTTTGTTTGTTTGTTTGTTTGTTTCTTGCCCAGATATCTGAAAGCTATGCTTCTAACTTCTGATAAAAGGGGAAAGTGTTTTGCGAGATTGACGGCTGGTTGCTGGGGGGCATGCAGTTTGGGGGTGGCTGTTTTGGGGTGCTGCTGACAGTGCGGGCACATCTTGCAAGACTGATGCTAGGGGGCACGCAGTTTGCGGTGCTGGTGCTGGTGCTATGTTGGGCCTCTTCCACACCGTTCGCACGACTTTTTGTGGTTCTTTTCCGCGCATATGGCTTTCGTGTTTCCGCGAGAAGCGCCGAGCTTTCTGGCGGAGTTGATTCGCTGCAGAAAAATGAGCCGTTCCGGTCAAATCTCCCATGCTATTTGGGGTTGTTGCTGATGTAATTTGTGTGTGTGTGTGTGTCCATTTATGAGTGATGCTTGTTGCAGCAACGCTGCCCGCGTGGGCTAGCCAAAGTTTCAAATTTAATTGCAAACACGACTACAGGCAGCAGGGATGCTGAGTATTGGGCAGTTTGATTGATCGCAGTGCCGTGCACGCTTGTGTAAACAGCCGTGCAGCGTTCACATTTGCCGGATAGCCCCGTCAAAGCGCCGGGGCAACAGTTTGGGGTGTGCCAAACAATTGAACAGCACCCTCATAGAAAAACGCAAGGACTGGGGCAAGCAAGGAGGAACATGTCAAGAGTGCGAAAAACTCGTGGACAACTCTGCCTCCATCCATGCTCTCACCTTGACAACGGTCAAAATGGTCAAACAAACAAGAAGTTTGAATGAGCGTGACCGTGCACGTAACCCTTGGACAGAAAATGATGCTTTTGCTCTCGTGCGCATCTCCCACATGTTTGCAACCTTTCTGCATGTCGTCTCTTCGGGCGCATGCATTATCCTGAAACAATTTTGCGCCAAGGGTACTTTCACAGTGAAATCGCAGTGTGCCGTCTTCTCGGTGGCATTGAGGCGCAGAGCAATGGAGTTGGCAAGTGGGGCAACATTGATACAATCCTCCAAGCGCTTCAGCTGCTCCCCACCACTGCTTTCGCCGCTTGAAGCAAGCAAGCTCCAGCAAGGCCTAGCTTGCAGCAACGTCGTTCCTCTTTGACAAGTCCTGGACGCTGCAGAGTACATCGCTAATTTGTGACGCCTGCGCATGGGCAGCGCTCTTCGATCATGCCGAGCATCTCCGCTGACAAAGCGGAGAAGGCAGCGTTTGATTGAAAGCTACCCAAAATTCTAGGTCAGGTCGTGGAAAAGTTAGCCCGCGCGCTCGTTTCGAGTGCAGCTGCCATTGCAATTTGCACCCTTTCAGCTTCCATGTCTCAGGACGAAAGTCCGGTTCGCGACGCGCGACCACGGCCGGCGTCGAATCCCTACGAACAGCTTGCGACGGATTTTTCATGGAGATTGACCTCAGGCCGGTGCCACTTGGCACTTTCCAAGATGCCAAGCGTGGCAAGGCCAGTTCCTGGATTTCCTCCAAGTTGGATGACTGGGTTTGTAGGTGCGGCTGACCACATCTGCCCCAGTGGCTATAGGGAAGGCTGGTGCATTCAGCGGATCATGGGACCTGGGCTCTGCTAGGCGCTGGCTTCTGGCTCCTCCTCACTTCTGGCCGCCATGGCGGAGGAACCCACTGGCATGGATCAAAATTACGCCACCGGAATCGGACCGCAGGTTGTAGTCCATGTTTCCATTTGCCAGGGTTCCATTTTGGGGTTCCTCTATTGTTGACCCACAGCCAGATCGCTCCCATGGCAACCTTTTTTTGGCAGGAGGGCGAGCGCGCTGACAGCCCTCCGCGCAGCTGGAGGGGCACTCAGTTCTGGGCCGAGGGATCGAGACAAACCACCGGGAATCGGACCGCCTTGGTTCCATTTACCAGGGTTCCATTTTGGGTTCCATTCGATTTTTGACCAGCCACATACGTAAAGCCTACGGAGAGGCGAGAAACGTTGGGCTCGTGTCAAGATCCTTGTAGCAGATTTGCCATCTAGAAGCGAATGCTGCGAAACAAGGTATCCACCTGGCTTCATGCACCCTCCTGCGTTGGACGCTTAGAACAGTTTTGTGCCAGATCCTTCGCAAGGCCCGCCTAACCGACACTATTAGTTGTCCGTAGTTTCTTTTCATCGTGACAAGTTGATCCTCTTAGGTTTCATCCGCCCATGTATGGCTACCCTCCCATGGGAATGCCACCAGGACCGTATGAGGCACGGACATTTTGCAAGACCTTCCTGTCAAGAGTACTGCGCATGGTTTGGCTTCAGGACCATTTTTAGCCATACCAAGAGACCCCTTCAATTGATCATGTAGTCACCAGAATGGCCTACTCTGGCAACACAGAAATCATGATTTTCCGCAACCTTGGCACTGAATTCAGGTTGACATTCACGGGCATGGTAAACGAGGGAGGAGTGGTTTTCCTGTTTCTCTGTTTTATTTGCTGTTTAGTTTGTTTGGGGTTTTGTGGCTGCTTGTTTTGCGGCTTTTTTGGTTTGTGGTTTGAGCTTGCGGCTGTTGTTTCGTGGTTTGTGTGATTTGAGGGGCTTTCAATCCAGCAATGAAGTTTGAACGTGACCTAGCCAACGCAAAACACCCAAATGCACCGGAAACCCACCGAACCCACCCCAAACTTACCCAAAGTCACCCCAAACCAACCCAAAACGCTCGAGCAACCGATTGCACACTTCAAGCAAATCACCTCAAATGCAGCGCCAGGGAAAGTCTCATTGGTGCAGCAACAAGAAGCGTCACCTTGTGAAAACATTAGCCACACGAATGAAACTTCAGAATGTGCAATCCACGATGTGCAGAATCACAATGAATTAACAATGCGTGAAGCGCTTCGTCAACAATGCAAAACAAACCGGAAACTCAGCACTCCAGAGGTGGGGAATGGACAAGCAATTCCAAAGTTAGTTTAAAGGCATTGCCAAGAGCCGTGCAGCAGACTGGCAGGCAAGACCTCCTGGAACGTGGTCGGGAGCAAGCCCTGGCTTTGCTCAGCCTCCGAGCGACTGGCAGGCAGGGCGTGCACTGTGTATCGGAGCATGCTGAACAGCGCAGATGGTATGGCTATGGGTCAAAAATGCGTACCCAAAATGGAACCCTGGTAAAGGGAGCCAAAAACTAAAACCTGCGCCCTGGTGGTTGTATTTTGACCCATACCCATATTCTGAGGCTGCACTTGCAGATCTTGCTAAGAAACATGATGTCCAGGGTGCGTCGGGACGCGAAGAGACCCGAGCCAGGCAGGGTTGACGAGGCTGAAAATTCTTTTTGGAGCCGCCAAAATATGCTCCCAGGTCAAGAAGTGGCCGACGCAAGCACAGGGCTTAGTCTCTGAACCGGAATCGTTGAACGTGGTTCACGTGGGCAACAGGGTCTGCCCAGAAGTCAAATTCTTTCTGCATGTTTGTAGCTCCCAGGCATCGCCGACGAAGATGACACCATGTCCTCAGAGTTGGGGGGGAGTGAGACTGCACGGGTCTAAAGACGGTGAAATTTCTTGAAACTGTTCACTTGAACGGTTACTTGCATGCTTTGAAATGACGTGCCCCCCCCCACCAGTCTGCTTATGTCCTAGCTGCACCTGGTGCAGCTAGATGCTGCGGAATAAACGTGGCGACAGAAAGAGACTCAACAGAGGCCCACGCCGCATGTGTTGGCAGGCCTCCACCAATATGGGAAGCGATGATTTGGACATTTGGAGATTTCAAGGCTGTCAACCGTTTGAGAGCTTTGCAGGCTTCCCCAAACTACTCTAAGGATACCAGCTTGCTACATGTTGGAATTGTCGGTGCTCCACATAGAGATGGTACTGGCTCAAGCAGCTGTGACTGATGTTCTCCAGGCTGAGAGCAGCCATGCAATGAGTACGAGGAAAAAGCATCGAGCGGCTCGAGCTTCTGTTTCAAGTTTACACGGCACTTTGCACTGAGGCAAGTTGTCGTTACCAAAAAGAAGAAGGAGGTTCCAGTCTTGGTAATGTTCATATCGCATTGCAGGCACAATGTGAAAATCACACTGTTCAACGGTTACATAAATTTGTAGTTCACACTGTTCAACGGTTACATAAATTTGTATTTTCTAGCGACGTGGCAATCCACCCATCAAAGTCCCAAAGCGGACTCAGATGCCCCGCTGCTCCGTTGCTCAAGCCTGGGGAAATCATATGAGCCGCATCAAAGTCAATGGCGGCGAAAGAGGAACACATGAACCCGCCCAGCACCGTAGCCAAACAAGACGTACATGACGTGACGTACCCATTATGGCAGCTGAAGGCTACTCCACTTTGTTGCCGGAATCAGCCAGATCTGAGCAATCTTCAACAGGGATCTCCGGGTGACCAAAGCCATGGCAGTCCGCGCTGGACTCAGCGCCAAAAGCTTCACTGCTAGCATGTCCGCGCTGGCACGGAGAATAGCCTGGCAAGAAGCCGTTTCCCTTTTTGCCACAATGGAGGAACAAAGCATTCCTCCGGATTCTTTCACCTTCAGTGTAGTGAGCAGTGCGTGCGACAAGGCCAGCCAGTGGCATTTGGCACTGGAGAGTTTTGCTTCCATGCGGCGGCACAAAGTGAGCCCAAACGTGGTGAACATGGCAAGTGCTATCAGCGCCTGCGGTAGAGCTGCGCAATGGACCCTGGTGCTAGGCCTCTTGCGCGAGCTGCCATATTTGTCCTTGCAAGCGGATACGGCCCTTTGCAACTCCAGCATGAGCGCCCTAAACCGGGCCAGAGAGTGGCGAAGATCGCTTTCTCTTTTTGAAGAAATGCAAAGGGATGGGCCTCAGCCATCCCCGGTGACCTATGGGGCTGTGGCAAACGCTTTTGAGAAAGGCGAGCAGTGGCGCGGGGCCTTGTGGCTTCTGCAGCAGCTGCCAAAGATGCCGAAGTCAAAGTCGTCGCCGTCAAAGTCGAGCTCTGTGATTTGTTTCAACACGGCCTTGAGCACTTGCAAGCAGGCCAGTGAGTGGTCGACTGCGTTGCAGATCTTCCATGAGATGCGAGCAAAGCAGCTCGAGCCGACAGTGATCACTTGGAACAGCCTGATGGCAGCATGTGCAGCCGGCCAACAGTGGCAGCTCACCTTGTCTCTTCTTGCTGGAATGCGACAGGAAGAGGTCACCCCAACAAACTTCAGCTACGGTGCAGCCATCGGCAGCTGCCAGCAGATTCATTTGTGGCCACTAGCACTTGCCATGCTAGATGAAGCTCTGAGCTCATCGGACATGCCAGACATTGCTCTATTCAACAACCTCATCAGCTCCTTTGCCGCCTCAGGGGAGTGGCAGCTGGCGCTCTTTCAGCTGGCCAACTTGCCCAAATCCTTGCAGCCCACTGTGGTCACCGTGAACGCGGCTATGCGGGCCTGTGTGGGTGGCAGTTGGCCCCACGCGCTGGCTTTGCTGGACATGCTGAAGGCTGGAGCCTGGCGAGGCGAGGCGGGCGTATATATATGTGTGTGTGTATATATATATATATGTATAGTGAATGTAGGAGACAAGATGGGCTCTCAAATTTCAGGCGAGCTGTGCAGGAAACTGGTTGTGATTTGGCTGGTCAAAGATAGGGTAAGCCCAAAACGAATTCCTTTCATGGGCGAACTTTCACCTTATGCCCATTCTTCCGCCAGAAAAAAGTAATCAAAAAAAACCAAAAAAGCAAACAAACAACCAACCAACAAACAAACAAACAAACAAACAATCGAACGAACGAACGAACAAACGAACGAACAAACAAACACAAACAAACAAACACAAAACAACAAAAAAGGAAACAATAAAAAAACGAAGAAACACGGAGAACAAAATAATGGCAGATGCTCCCGGTGTGCTGAGCTTCAACACGGCGGCGAGCGCCTGCTGCCAGGGCAGCTGCTGGCAAGGTGCTTTGGCGCTGTTCCATGAGGCGCCCCGGGCCAGCGACGTGGGCTGCCGCATCGCCGGACACTCGGAGACCGCTTTTTTTTTTTTGCTTTTTCCAGCCGACTTCTCCACACTGAGTCACCACGAAACATGTCTCTGTTTGGCATGTTTGATGAGTTGGGTGCCACTTTGGAGGGAGTTCTGGCTGAGGTCATGGCTGCTTGCGAGCGAGCAGCCACATGGCAGATGGCCTTGGCCATGCTCACGGCCCAGAGCAGAGAGAAGGAGTACAAGGCACGCGGCGCGCTATGGTGTGCTACAGTGTGCTATGGCGCGCTATGGTGTGCTACGGTGTGCTATGGTGTGCTATGGCGCGCTATGGTGTGCTACGGTGTGCTATGGTGTGCTATGGCGTGCTATGGTGTGCTACGGTGTGCTATGGCGCGCTATGATGTGCTACAGTGTGCTATGGTGTGCTATGGCGCGCTATGGTGTGCTACGGTGTGCTATGGCGCGCTGTGCTATGGTGGGCTATGGTTTGCTATGGCGCGCTATGGTGTGCTACGGTGTGCTATGGTGTGCAATGGCGCGCTATGGTGGGCTATGGTTTGCTATGGCGCGCTATGGTGTGCTACGGTGTGCTATGGTGTGCTATGGCGCGCTATGATGTGCTACGGTGTGCTATGGCGCGCTGTGCCATGGCGTGCTATGGTTTGCTATGGCGCGCTATGGTGTGCTACGGTGTGCTATGGTGTGGTGCTATGGTGGGCTATGGTTTGCTATGGCGCGCTATGGTGTGCTACGGTGTGCTATGGCGCGCTGTGCTACGGTGGGCTATGGTGTGCTATGGCGCGCTATGGTGTGCTACGGTGTGCTATGGCGCGCTATGGTGTGCTGCGGTGTGCTATGGTGGGCTATGGTGTGCTATGGCACGCTATGGCGTGCTATGGTGTGCTACGGTGTGCTATGGTGTGCTATGGCGCGCTATGGTGTGCTACGGTGTGCTATGGCGCGCTGTGCTATGGCGTGCTATGGTTTGTATGGCGCGCTATGGTGTGCTACGGTGTGCTATGGTGTGGTGCTATGGTGGACAATGGTTTGCTATGGCGTGCTATGGTGTGCTATGGTGTGCTATGGCGCGCTATGGTATGCTACGGTGTGCTATGGTGGGCTATGGTGTGCTATGGCGCGGTATGGTGTGCTACGGTGCTTTGGTGTGCTACGGTGTGCTATAGTGGGCTATGGCGTGCTATGGCGCGCTATGGCGTGCTATGGTGTGCTATAGTGTGCTATGGCGCGCTATGGTGTGCTACGGTGCGCCATGGTAGGCATGGTGTGCTATGGCCCGCCATGGTGTGCTACGGTGTGCTATTGTGGGCTATGCCACACTATGGCGTGCTATGGCGTGCTATGGCGTGCTATGGTGTGCCATGGTGTGCGCTGAGCACAGTGGCCGTGAACCTGTAGGCCTGTACGCTCGCTCTTGCTGCAGGGGGTCGGCCGATGGAGGCGTTCTTTTCCTTAAAGGGCAAGTCGAGCGCATTGAGTCGCAGAGCAGGCAATGGCGCTGACACGCTCAATGGTGGATAATGGTGCGCCGTTCAAGTCTCTGATTGTGTCAAGAACATACAACCTGCACAGCGATTCACGCTTGTAGACCAGACGCAACACTAGGCTGACATAATGCATAGCTTGCAGTGTGCTTGCAGGTACAACTTCGGTTTGGATGGAAGGAGAAGCCTTTACTATTGACTTGTGGGCTGCTGAGTAGATTGATCGGTGCACGCGACATTCATGCTGATTCATAATACTCCTGTTGCTGGCTTGCACACACACACACACACACACACACACACACACACACACACACACACACACACACACACACACACACACACACACACACACACACACACACACACACACACACACACACACACACACACACACACACACACACACACACACACACACACACACACACACACACACACACACACACACACACACACACACACACACACACACACACACACACACACACACACACACACACACACACACACACACACACACACCACACACACACACACACACACACACACACACACACACACACACACACACACCCACCCACCCACCCACCCACCCACGCACGCACGCACGCACGCACGCACGCACGCACGCACGCACGCACGCACGCACGCACGCACGCACGCACGCACGCACGCACGCACGCACGCACGCACGCACGCACGCACGCACGCACGCACGCACGCACGCACGCACGCACGCACGCACGCACGCACGCACGCACGCACGCACGCACGCACGCACGCACGCACGCACGCACGCACGCACGCACGCACGCACGCACGCACGCACGCACGCACGCACGCACGCACGCACGCACGCACGCACGCACGCACGCACGCACGCACGCACGCACGCACGCACCCACCCACCCACCCACCCCCACCCACCCACCCACCCACCACACCCACCCACCCACCCACCCACAGACAGACAGGACAGACAGACAGACAGACAGACAGACAGACAGACAGACAGACAGACAGACAGACAGACAGACAGACAGACAGACAGACAGACAGACAGACAGACAGACAG